TACACCTTTCAACTCTTATATTGCTTCTTGCTATTGATTTAATTTAAATTTCTTACTAATAAGGCAATGCTGTCCCCTGTGCCCATTCCGGCTGTCCTTTCGGTGGGACGCGTACTCTTGGGTATTTAGTTCCTAGCCATGATCCCCTTGCAGATATGACTCTGTGATACCCATTTCATACCCACCAGTTTTAATCTGTACTACAAGCTCATTTACCTGGTTTCATATTCGGTATGCATTTATGTACAACACCCTCAGTCCTGCATTGACTTCCCTCCTTCTCATGGTTGGCCTTATCTGCTGTGCTTGAAGTTAGATTCCTGAGCCTTTCCATACTCTGTCCTCAGTTGTTCAGAAAATGTGTGTCCGAGCACCACTGCCCCCTTAATTTTTCATTCAACTGAACCCACACACCTAATTATTTAGTTTGAAACCCTACTCACAGCTCTAGTTATACAGTTCACCAGGACTGGTTCTGGCATGTTTTAAGCAGAGCCCATTCTATCAAAACAGCTCCCTCCTTCCCCAGTGCTGGTGCCAATGTCCCATGGAATTTTAACCTGTTTCTATCGCACCAATCTTTGAACTACACATTTACCTCTTTAATCTTGTTCACCCTGTACCAATTAACCAGTGTCTCAAGTAGTAATTTGGAGATTGTTACCTTTTTGGTTCTGCATTTTAATTTAGTCCCTACTTACTCATATTCTCTCAACAGAACCTCTTTCTACCCATATCGTTGGTACCTACATGGACCACAACAACTGATCTTTCTCCTTCAACTCAGGAGTTTCTCTGCAGCCCAGATGAGATATACTGAAACTGGGCACCAGACAGGCACAGAGACTTTGGAGCTCCCGATCCTAACCACACAGAATAGTTTCTATGCTGTATTTTGCTCACAGTTCATAATGAGGATGATCACTTCTTGATTTGTATTCTGAGAAACTTTCAATGTGATTGCTTGCTTATCCTGATTGATGGCATCTCCATTGCTGAACCCCTGGAAATACCCTTGACTCCAAACCAGATACAAACTAAAATCCATATCACAAAAATTGCTCAATTTTTATTTGTTCAACAGGTATCTTTGACGTCACTGGTAGGTGCCATCACTTTCCTGTTAAATGCTGAATCTGGGCATTAATATGATCCGTTTCACCACTAGAATCAAAGTTTGAATGTAGCCCAAAATGATGCGATAAAAAAGGTGAGTAAAAGAAAAAACATGACTCGAACACACCAGTGAGGTACAGTCAACAGAAAATTATTGGATAGTATGGAGGAGCTGTACATCATATAGCAGGATTTCCTAATGACTGGATATCCTACATGGAGAGTTGTGCTATTTTTTCCACATCAAAATTCAGATGAAGCACAAAATTAGCCTAAAATGTTATTGGTGAATTCGAACTGTCACTATTAAAGCTTGCATAATATCCAGCTGCTTTTGTTTTAAAGAAAACTGACTATGCTTCTTATCCTGCCTCCTGACAGAATATAAAACTTGGCAAGAAAAGTAGTAAAATGTATATCACAGATCCCTTATTCATAGAAGAGGTCAGAGCGATTGAACTCAGTGCCGAGTACAATGGAATCACAGTGATTCTTTCATCAAAATAGCAAAAGCTTGTAAAATTTCAGAAAACATCTCTTTCTCAACACTGGGTCACATTGCAGGTACAGTCAGACAGTACAGTATTTTCATTCACCTAATACAACCAAATTTACTTTCAAGTTCAGGTGATTGAAGATTTGCAGTTTAAGACAGAGGAAAATTGATGTTATTTTGTTCTCCCCAAGTGAGCACATTTTAATTCATTACCTAACTGCATAAAGGAAAAATTGTGCTCTTCAATTATTAGAATAGCATTCATTTGGCACTTGATATTAAAACCGGTGTTATGGTTATGCCAACTGCATACGTTGCACAACAGACTATTGACTAATTTCTCAAAAGGAAATTAATGTGATGGGGAAGTTTCATTCACTTAAACTGCAATACCCCTTTTTATTGCAGCCTCGCCCACCAATTAAAAGTACATATTTTAAAATTATCAAGTTACCTTAAAGAAAGACACTGCCATTCATAATTCAGTTTGTACTAATAATTAAAAAAAACCCATGAGAAACCAGATTAGAAGACTATTAATTAACAGGGTATACATATTGTCACCAATATTCAAAAAAGTTATTTTAAATACAAGCACTGTAACGTGATCAGAAAATAAGCAGCAATAATTTCACCAGCAGAGGTCACCAACTACCACAAAAATATAAGAACCTAGTTTTTATAGGTGCTGTGGAGATGATTTGTGAAGTAGATTCAAGAGTCTATCAGCAAAGCTGTTGTTCAAAGGCAATGTCAGACTTTTGGGCAGGGTGTTGGTGGTGGGAGAGAATTTTACAAATACCCTTACTGCTTTCCCAATTGCTATTGGTCATCAAAGACTACCCTAATTCCTCTTTAAAGAGGGATCAAATAGTTTCATAGTAAACTGACCTCTGTCAGGGGTGAAAACTATTTAAGTATTTATTGCTCTAAACATCTCTCATGCCATTGTGCATAAGGCAACAAAATCAAGTGTAGTCTTTGGTGAGACAATGTTACGTGTGAGGTTATGCAGAACTGCAGACATAATTCTGTCATTTTTATTTTTGCAGAACAGCGACTGTCTCTAAATTCCTACATTCACATTTTTAAACTGGAACTACCCTTGTCATCTTCTATTATAATTACACCCTTGCACTAGTGGCGGTGCAGAAATCAAGCAGCATGGCTGGAGTGACAGAAGGATTTCTAGGGAGAATTCTAATACAGAGACTGAACAAGCAGATCGATAGGTAGCCAGGTGGATTTCTACCCATCTAGTACTACACAGTGGCACAAACTGGAATTTTCATTTAGCATATGGTTACACAATGAATAGCAAGGATAAATATTTTTAAAACATTAATGATTCAAAATGTTATTTGCATTTTTAAATCATCGTACTATTCCTGGCAGAGGGCATTATTCATTTTCAGAAACAAAAACACAAGTTTTCACTTATTGCTTTCAGTAAAATTTCAACAGAGATTATAAGAGCTATTTTACAAACTTACCATTCACGGAGACATGATAATTTAACCTGTATGATACTTTGGAAGACATCATCATATTCTGTTACAGTCCAAACTTGTGCCTTGTAGATGGTGGACAGGCTCTGAAGAGTTAAGACATGAGATACCCACCACAGAATTCCTAGCCTCTAACTTGCTCTTGCACAGTATTTCTAAGGTGGATCAGTAGTAAGCCCCAGGATGCTGACACATTCAGAATGCAGAATTAGATGTTGGGCTACAATAGCATAAACCCAAATAATTTCCTGACCTCTGATCTCTAACAGTACCTCTTCTCACTACAAGTCCTAGATCACACAGTTACATCCCTGTATTCTTTAAAAATACTTGCTGCACCTGATTGCTTTCAAATCATTTTCATTAAAAAGGATGGTGTTGCAGTACTACAAAGTTTTCAGCTAAGTGCATTATCTGAAACAACCAGGAACAACCGGGCAAACGTTCAACTGGAAGACTCTACCATTGAGATGCTGGACAATTTTGCAGTGCAATAGCACATTTTCCAAAAGCAGAGTGAATCTTTACAAAATTTTACATTTAAATTTTGACCAAAAATGTTCAATCCCAACATCCATCCTCACAGGAGCCAAGTGGCATGAACATAAACATAAACAGTTAAAACCTTTGTAACATACAAGGAGACCAGTATAAGTTCCACAGTACTCCATTAGTCTATGGTTAGCGATAGGGAGGCTATTCAGCCAACCTTATTTCATCCATAATTAAATGTCAATCCCTCACCATTGCAGTAACCACTTGATTGCAGAGTTTTAGTTGCTACTTCTGTACCTTGAATTCTCACTCAAAATGTTGAGCAGTGTCAGTGAAAATCTTTTTGATATTCCTTCTGAACTTGCCCATTCACCAACTTCAACTTGTGTTTACTTGACATTTTTGCACTCACTTTTTCCTCTCCTGCCCTTCAGTGTTAACTGTTTTTTTAAAAAGGTTATCGATTAGAAATAAGCAAGAAACAACAAAAAAAAGTGCCTTTCAGAATGAAGAATTAGATGTTGGGCTACAATATTTAAACCTTAAATAATTTAAACCTTAAATAAATGACTTTTGATTCCATATGTTCTCATGAGAAGTCCAGGATTACACAGTAACATCCCTTTATTCCTTCAAAATATTGGCTGCACTTACTTTCAAACCACTTTCATTAAAAAGGATGATGTTGCAATACCACAAAAGTTTTCAGCTAAGCGCATTATCTGAAGCAACCAGGAACAACCTGGCAAATATTCAACCGGAAGTCACTACCATTTTGATGCTGAACAGTTTTGCAGTGCAACAATAGATGTCCCAAAGTCAGTGAATTTTTACAATATTTTCTTAAATTTTGAACAAACAAAATATATTTATAGAACAGTAGGTTATCACATAATTGACAAATCAATTAATATCAACATCTAATGTTTTGTATTAGGATTTTACCTTAGATAATATTTTGACCAATGTCTTATGAATTCAAAATGTTGATATTTAATTGTAAAATGATAATTAATAAAGGCATTTGGTTTACATTACTCCATACCCAAAACTCTCACCAAGGAGAATGGTGAAGTCGTTTTCTAATATAGAACTTGTATATCACTGAAAAGAAGGACACGTTGCTGAAGATTTTCAACTTGTACTCAGCTGGACAAATGAGAATACCAAATTTCAAACAACGACAATTCATTCTGCAGGTGAAAATGGTGCTGACTGATTCAGAAGTAGACTCAGATTGCCCAAGATGTTGTCATCAAGAAACCTACAAGGAATTGTAGGTTTCCGCAAGCTCCTGGTAATGCAAAAAAGATTTAATGCTTGAACATATTCCTTTTGTTTGAGAGAAAACGCGAATGAATGTACATCGCTTCCAGCAAGCATACCTGGCATCACCTCAGCAGTGGCTACAAGAGAGGCATTTTCCACGAACAGAATGGCTGTCGCAGTCCAAAATAATGTTCTGCGTACCACGTGACGTGGTACTCGGGTCACGTATGAACTTCAATGCTGATACAATACCAAGTACATGGCTGTACATCCCAGTAATTCACTGATTAAATAACAAGATGTTTCTTCAGTTGTTCGTAAAAGGCCAAGTACAGATCGTACTCAACCAGCCCAAACTTGAAGAACCAAAACTTGTTAGTTGTGCAATTGGAGACACATGCAGAAAATATCCTAAGTGCACTACGAGCTACACTAACACAAGGGTTCATTCTCTGAAAATGACAAGAATATATTCCAGCCATGTGCCTTTTTTGAATTTCTGCAGCGTTTTGGGCAAGTCAGTAGTTGGTCATTACTTTGTCCATGCCAATCTCAGTCAACCAGACTCAACCTTACCAATGAATAAGCACCTTTTTCTTCCTGATTTATAAATTGAGATATGTTTGAAATTTGGCATTTTTGCATTTGTCCTAATCAATGTAAGACAAAAAGCTTTTGCAATATGTATTACTTTTCAGCAATATTCAAGAACGGGAAACTTAAGTATTCAGGGGAAAAAAAAAAAATTGCCTTTCCCCTTTTGTATTTGTATCGTAATTGGTTAGAAACACTTATGCTGAAATACATGTTGTAATTTATGGTTAATGTAATTACAGATTAATTCATATGTTCCAGGATGTTTTTTTTAAACAAATGGATCTATGTCTTAGCTAAGTGTAACTTGGTCAAAATATGCTACACTTTGGCAATTTAACCATTCACACCCACTCACTTCTGCAGACAAAAGTTTACAAAATTTGCATTTTATACAACATACCACAGGACACCCTGTATGAAGTTATACGCAATTTAGAGATTAATTTACAATTTGTACAGTATATAATCATACACAAGATACTGGACAGAAGATAAAAGCACTGACAGTACTTAACACAGGTTGGTCTATTCTAAACTATGGAGCTCCTGTTATTATAGGCACAAACTTATTCAATTGACAATGTGCAACAGTTGAGATTGAAAAGTGCAATGGCTACATAGGATGTCCAATTACCTTGTATTTAGGGTATAGTTAGCTTCTCATCCAAGCCCAGTTGTCACAGGATATTATATCCGGAGCCCACAATTAAATCCTAATGCATCAGAGTTTCAACCTCTTTTAAAGGGCATTAATCCTCTTGGGTCAGAGCATCAAAACAAAGAGCCTTTAAAAATTGGATATTTTCAAAAGATGAAGTTGGCCATGACATATCCAGAACCTTTAGATATACCCAATTGGGATGTTCCCATGAAATTCCATCACTGCAAACCAGTTTGTGAATAACACAGTTTTTCAGTATGTGCAGCTGAATATCACGATATTGTTTCACACTCCAGCATACTTTGAGGGAAAAATCTGAAAACCCTGCAGAAAGTTAACAGTCTGGTATGTTTCAGCTCACTTTTGTGACAGTACCACCCAATGATTTCGAATAGTTCTTTACAAGGTTCAGAACGGTGAAAAGCTGGGTTATGAAAGAAAATTGAAGCCTAATTTATGTTCCCACAGCCATAAACAATCTCACTGTTGGAGCAGTATAGACATATGCAACTTACTATACTAGAAAAAAAGTAACACTCACCGCAAACAAAATACATTCCCCTCAATTCAGAAATTGAGCCTATTTTTATGTATTTCACTTCTAATAACTATTAGATGTTTAAATGGTTTCATTATCTTTGTGAGTTTTGAACATAAGATTTCACTGCCAACATTTCAACAATGTTGGGAGCTCTATGATTTTTTTTTCCTCCTCAACTACTGGGCTGAAAGGTATTTTTAATTAATGATAGAAGAAAGTAGAGTTGTTTAAAAGGTTTGGTGAGTTAGTGATACATTGGTTAACAGACCATGGAAATGGGTTTGGGAATGCATGCCTGTATAAACTGCAGCATTCAACTGACAAGCAAAATACAAAAGAAAATAAAAACACAGGGTTAAAATTCAAGTAGTGTTCAAAACAGGTTGCAGTTCTTGGAATTATACAAATTTCATACAAATAACAACTTTGACCCAATTAAATCCTTGCTCAAAAGTTGCTCAAAAATTGAACAAGTCAAATGTTTGAAGTCAACTTTCCCACAAGCATACAAAATGGACTGTATTAAGGATAAAGGCAAAAATGTTTACCAAGTCAGATGCAGACTTTTAAAATGTGTTTAGTGACAAAGTTAGAAAAGTCCATAAATTGGATTTTGTGATTCTAAAACAGGTTCCTGTACAAATAATCAATACTTCTGCTATGTATCTTCACTGCGTTGACAGATTATAAAGGTTTACATCAGCGGTCACAGTGATGGATTGCTGGCAATTAACTGTGAAACAGTCATTTCTATTGCCACCGAGAGCTCAATCCATGTGATAGTTCATTAAATGTTAGACTTGGAAATTATCTTCGGAATTTAACATTAAATTTTCCAAGCTTCCCTTCCAAGTCATAATGGTGATTTATCTGGTCTTGTTCAGTAAATTTTCTCCACACCTTGCCTTCCGTTTTGACCTTGCAGACTCAGATGAACTTGACGCAGAGTCAAGGAATCATGACGACTTTCAGGTCATTCGATTTAAAGCTTTATTGATACACAGTCTGTATTATAAATGTCTTTCTTCGACATGTTATGATGCATCTTTTAGCTCTGGAGTTTCTGTTGATTCAGGTGGCACCTCTGTTGATGGTGTCTGACTTCCTTCTCCTCCTTCTTCATGAAAAATAAAACAATAGATGTTAAAAATGAACTCTTATTGTTGATACCTACATAAGACGACAAGAGATAACATTTTTGTAGAAACTGCCAATACTTAATTTCCATGTTTCTTTCATATTCTTAGATGGTACATCAATCACAATGGAATTAAATCTCAGTACTGTTTATCAAACAAACTACATTTTCTAACTTGTCAGTGATGGTCAAACATGTTTAGTTGCCTAAATCTGAAGATGTCCGAGATATTAAGTATAGCACTTCCACATTTCTAGCCTCTTATTCCCAGTCTGTAGCTTTTAATGATGCCTTGTATCATTTTTAAAGAGAAATTTCCACTTCAGTTTTCCCCATTCTTTTCTTGAGGTAAAGACTTCCTCTAATTCAATATTGCAAAGGCACCAGATGCACATCAGTACACCACACACAGCAATTCCAAATCAGAATCATACAGCATGGCAACACACGCTTCAGTCCAATACGTCCATGCCGACCAAGTTTCCGAAACTAAAACTAATCCCATATCCCACTAAACCTTTCCTATTCATGTCCCTGTCCAAATGTCTTTTAGACATTTGGACATTAACTGTATCTGCACCTACCACTTCCTTTGGCAGTTCATTCTACATACAAACCACCCTCTGTATGAAAACGTTGCCCCTCAGGTCCCTCAAAACTTTTTCATCTCATCCTAAAATTATGCACTATTTTTTGACTCCCCTATCAGAGGGAAAAGACCTTTGCTATTCACATTTTCTATGTGTCTCATGATTTTATAAACCTCCATAAGGTCACCCCTCAGCCTCCTACGCTCCAGTGAAAGAAGTCCCAGCCTATCTAGATCTCCTTATAACCCAAACCTCTGGTCCTGGCAACATCCTGGTAAATCGTTTATGTGCCCTTTCCAATTTAATAAATATCCTTCCAACGCAGGGCCACCAGAACTGTACATAGAATTCAAAAGGTGGCCTCATCCTGCACAACCTCAAAATGACGTTCCAATTCTATACTCAATAGTCTGAGCAATGAAGGCAAGCATGCTAAAAGCCTTCTTAACCACCCCGTCTACCTGTGACACCGTTTTTAAAAGAACCACGTACCTGAACGCCTCGGTCTCTGCTTGACAACACTACCCAGGACACTACCATTAACTGTGCAACTCTTGTCCTCGTTCATTTTATCAAAATGCAGTACCTTGCATTTATCCAAATTAAAGTCCATCTGCCACTCCTCAGCCCATTAGACTAATTGATCAAGATCCCTTTCTTCATTATCAACTATACCACTAATGTTGGAGTCATTCACAAACTTACTAACCATGCTTTCCAAATTCTCATCCAAATTGTTTTTGTAAATGACAAACAACAGTGGACACAACACCAATCCCTGCAGAACACCACTGGTCACAGGCCTCCAGTTCAAATAACAACCCTCCACCACTAATACTCTGCTCCGTATTGCCAAGCCAAATTTTGTATCTAACTGGTAATTATGAGAGCCTAGGCAATGTGCATAGCTCCCTATTCAAATCACATAAACAATGGTGCTTTGTGCAGGAAAAAAAAACTAGAGAATGACCAGAAACTCTGGTTGACATCATCCTCTGCCTACAAGTCAGGTTTTTCAGACAAAGTTTAATTTGCCATTAGTCAGTCATCAGGAATGGTGTCTTGCAATTCAAGCAAAGGAAACAAGTAAAAAGGCCAACTGTAATAATTTGCTTGTACTTGGGTTTGTAAATCAATTGCCTATGGTACAGACCTGTAGAAGTAACCTTTTGGTGAACTCTAAGTGACAGTATTCAAAAAAAGAAAGGGTGTTTAATGTCAGCAAATTGTCATTTAGAAAGAAATTCATGATATGAAACAAAAGTTAATTTTTAAAATCTTACTTCATTACTCTTGCCAGATTTCTCAATACATGCAGAGTCACAGTTAAGAATATAAAAATTTGAATTAAAATGTTAATTTCATCCAATGAATATATTCACATGCAGGGTATTCACGGTTTATCTGGATCATTTATTTGAAACGTACAACTGATTGCCTTGTTGTACCATGGCAGTTTCTTCCCACTGTGTGCATGCACACATACTGTGATTAGTCTCAATATAATATATAATTATTCATGGTAGATGATGAATCACTGTAAATCAATACCAGTAAATGTAAGACATTTGCAGGAGACAATTCCATCAGAACATTTTAACTGAATGTAGAATTGGGGACTATGTTATTAGGAAAGGTTGCAGAAACAAACAGAAATAGTAAAGCAACAAGTGGGGATAGAGAACCAGAATGAAAATTTGCTGGATGTGGATAATTTTTGAAACTGGCAAATAGATGCTTCCTTTTCTAAATATGGTTTCATTTCCAGATTGCTTTCACTCTACAGAAAAGCAACATTTTTAAAAATGGAGCTAATCTTTTCACACTTTGAAACTGCATGCAAGCCATTGTTTAAGAAAAATAATCAATAGTATGCAAAATATAACAGTAATAGTATATAAAATAAGTTATTGTACTATGGTATCAAAGACCAGTGGTAGTCTACCAGATTAGCTGCTCGAGGCAAGGATTTGGAAAAGGTAATTGATGAATGGAGTGCAAAATTTCATATAGGTAGCCAATCCAGACAACTACACAGTGACTCCTGCAGGCTGCAGGTCAGAATCTGCTGAGGACAGAAATAGAGTCTCTGTCATGAGGCCACCCTAACTCCTTCATGAAGGACAGCTGAGACTGACAGAATCCTGGAGAAACTCAGCAGATCTGCTAGCATTTGTGGAGAGAGAAACATGTATGACCTCTTCAGAATCAAGAACAGTGTTCCAAAGAATCATACAGTACTTGAATCATTAATCCTGTTTTTCTCTCCACAGATTCTCCAGCATGTTGTTTGTTTCAGATTTCTCAGGATAGATAGTATTTGCTTTCATGAAGAATAGCTAGCTGATCAGAGGACATCCATTATACAATGTTAAAATCCTCACTGATTTTTCATTTTTATCTATTATTTTTGGTTTGGATTGGAGAGCTGAAGGTGAACTTTGTAAGCAGCAGCTTGTCTTTTAACGAACACACTAATATTTGTTTGAGACCAGACCTGGAAGTCAATTGCAGGTTGATTCTTGTTTGAAGAATGCTCTAAACCTTTAAGTTCCACAGTTACATTACACTCAAGCAGATGGCAGGTGTTGAATATTAACCATGTCCTCACAGGTAGAGGATCAATCTAACAGATACCACAAGTTTGAACTTGTTTTGAATTCTATTTAAAATCAGAAGAGTTGTCCCTGTGAAATCTACAGGATGCATGTTTAATTGCTGCCTGGTTGGCCTTCAACATGCCTGGTAGATTTGAAGAATAGAATCTGGGTTAAGTATTAAGTGAATATTCCTCAGAGCCTAGTGCAGCAAGTTGTGTGCAGTGGTGTCTTCAGAAACTAAGCAAGATGCAATCCCATGTGCCTATAATGTTACAGACTGAAGTCTGCTCAAGTGTACTGACCAGTTACGTCTCATTTTTGCTTTTGATTTAACCCTTAACTGTACGGGTTTGTCTCTATGTCTTTGAGAAGTGGGAGAGACTAGAATCAGTAAAGATTGGATTTAAATCATAGACATTAATTAGATTACCTTATGGTTTAACTTTGCTAATGCTACTGCATTATTAATAAATTGTTAATTGTTTTGTTCAAGCTATAAACATGGTATCTGGTAGTTATGCACAAAGTCTGATACTGATTATTCAAAACAAAAATCTGATTAGGAGCCACTGGAGCAATTTTGAGGGTCATTGAGTATTTTAATTTACTGTGTTGCAAATGCAGGAAAATGGAGTTGATTTACTTTGACTATGTCTCCATCTCAGAACAACATTGTACATGTCAATACTACCAGGAGAGACAGGGGCAAGAAAATAGAATATTGTAAAACGTAGTAATACCATTTCAAAAATCAGCAGGGTGCACTGTGGCTAAGGAAAAATTGCTTACTCTTAAAACGGAAATTTAGTGTCACAGAATGGAAAACAATTCATGCAAGCTAACTTAGTTTGCTGCTCCTTGCTCTGGAGTGCAGTGGCCTGTAAAACTATTGCTTTTATGATGAAACAAATATATTCAAACTACAGAATTTTAATTTGTATTAGTAACTTATTGCTTTTAATTTCAAAATAAATGCCACATTAACAAATAAAACATACAAAATAGCTCAAGCATACGTACTATCTGCAATTAGTTTTAGAACAATGGAAGCCATTCAAATGGCTCAGAGTAAACATGAAAGAAAAGGGTCAAACATTCAAATCCAGGACCCCCTGGATGCCAAGGAGCATACAAGGTGAGATAAGGAAGAAAAGGAAAGCTGATATCAGACATCAAGGACTGCAGCAAGTTGAGTGTGAGGGAAATGCAGGGGTAAAATTAAAAGAGAAAATTAAGGTGGTAAAGAAAAGACACAAATGAATATTGGTAAGTAAAATCAATGCGTTAAGAGCAACAGAATAACTAAGAGTAGGGTTCATAAAAGACCAAATAGGTAACCAACATGTAGAGTCAGAGGACGTGGGTATAGTTCTTTTCGAAAACTGCTTCAGTCTTTCAAAAAATAAAGTGATGGACGATGCAGGCATTGCAGCTGAGGAGGTCTGTTAATGATGAAATGTAATAAAACGTAGGGAATGAGAAATATTAAAGACCAGTATCATTAAAAAGTAGCTAAGCCACCAGAGCCAGATAAAATGTACCCCAGGCTGTTAGAAAAAGCCAGAGAGGAAATAATGGATGCTATGTCGCTAATTTTTGAATTCTCACCGAGTGTGATCCTGGAGGATTGAAGGACTGCTTAAAGATTGGTCGAGGAATAGACTGAATAATTAGAGACTACTCAGCCTAATTTTGGTCATGGGGAAACTAC